CGGTAAAAAAAAAAAAAAAAATGAAGGAAGAAAGGTAGGTAACAATCACGATATAATTTTACTGCTGGGGATTTAGCTCAGTGGTTCCACTGCCTGCCTCATAAGCACAAATCCATCCCCGGTACCAAAAAAGACATAATTTTACTGCTAACAAAATATAAGTAAAACAATCCCAATATGATTATAGAATAAGTATATTTAATACTATCAAGTAAATAATGTTAACAAACAGGAATTTAAATAGGATTAAAATAAATATTCTGTTTAAGAATAAACGAAGGGCAAGGGATTTAGCTCTGTGGTTCCATGGCCTGGCAAGCCAAGGACCTGAGTTCCATCCCTGGTACCAAAAAAAAAAAAAAGAACACATGAATATGAAAAGTATCCAATTAGAAATTGTGGAAATAAAAATCAGAACCATTAATATAAATAGCTCAACAAATTAAAATATCTAGACTAGATTCAATAAAATAGAAAATTAAAATTTAGATCAAGGTAAAATGTAATTATAATAAAATATAAATCTAATTGTTAGATTAAGTGACTAAAAAGACTGACAGAACCCAGGCAGGGGAGATATCTTGTGAATGAATTGAAGTCATTTCTGGAAATTTCTGGAAAAAAATACCTAGTAACAGTCGTAAGTGCTCCGAACAGAAAAATATGCAAAACTGAATGAATTTGCATGTTTATGTCCCAGAATCCTGCCCTGCTGTGATTTCACAAATTCTTTACAATAAAATCCCCTTAGTTCAGAAAGTGATGAAACTCTTAAAAAGGAATATATATGTATATAGATAGATAGATAGATAGATATGCAAAGAGAGGGGAGATTAGAACACTTGTGTGCTGTTGATGAGTATTGTATATGTCATGGCCAGTATGGGAAACAGCATAATGGTTCCTCAAAAATTTCAGAAAATAATGACATGATCCAGTAATTCCACTTTCTGAGAATATACCCAATGGAATTTTAAGCAGGAATAGGAACAGATAGATGATAGATAGGTAGAAAGATAGATAGATAGATAATAGATAGATAGATATTCATAGCAGCATTAGCCCAGTAGTGGGAACAGTCCAATGTGCATCAATAGATGAATGGGTAAACAAATGTAGTATGCATACAAAGGGAAATTTTTTAAAAAAGAAGGAAATCCAAACATATGGCACAACATGGAAGAACCTTGCAGACACTATGGTAAATCGGGGGGCGGAGAACCTAGACACAAAATAACAAATATTCTACGTACATAAATTACATAGGGCACTGAAATTCATAAGGACAGAAAGTAGAAAGATGGTTGCCTGAGTCTGAGTGCTTAATGGGAACAAAGTTTCAGTTTGAAAGGAGTAAAAACTTCCGGAGATGAACGGTGGTGATGGTTGTATAATGAACTAAATATACTTAACTACACCTTTTAAAATGGTACTGTATACCTAAAATGTACCAATAAACTAAAAAAAAAATGGTTCAATGGTAAATTTATATTATGTATGTTTTACCACAATTTTTTTAAGAAAGAAAACAGAAACACATACTAAAGATCACCAGATCACAAATAATTGGGGGCCTTCTAAGTGAAACATACACAAGCAGCTCCCTCTCCTACCTCAGTATCTTATATTTGTGGATGCGTCTCACATCTCACATTAAGTCAGCATCAGTAAAACATTTGCTGTTGTGATAAAAGTCAAAGGAGCCCATAGTGTGGAATCTTAACAGCTATTAAGCAACAGACAAAATCTTAAAATCCATTCAGATGGTAAACACTCGTCAAGGTTTTTTATTTCATTTACCCTGTACATATTTACAGTCCATCTCTTGTCACACACACACTAAAGCAAAAATGAAAGTATATTAGTGGGCAAAAAATAAAAATAGATGTGCTAGATATTATCTGTAAAAGACATAACATTCTTTAAAATTCCAGCCACAGTGATTGCCGCGCACTAAGTGGGACTCTCTAATACTTGGCTGAGGGCTCGCTCTCGGTCCAGTCAGTGGGCCCTGAGGCTCGCCTTCCAGACAGAGGGGGCTGCAGGAAAGCTCAGCTTCACTCTTTGTGCTCCTCTCTCCTCAGTATTCATTAATAGCCAATGATGATGTCTGAAGGTGGCACCTTAGAGAGGTGATTATTTTGTTTGAGGGGTGCTCTAGTGAATGGCACTGGTGTCTTTATGAGGGGCTGGCTAGCTCTCTATCCGCCATGTGAGAATACAGTGAGGAGGTGGCTGTGTGGGAAGCAGGAACACGGTTCTCAGCAGAACCCAGCCTGTTGGCACCTTCATCTCTGACCTCCACACTCCAGAACTGTGAGAAACAAATGTTTGAATATCACCCAGTCTGTGGACTTCATTGTAGCAGCCAGAATGAAGACTCCACAGAACCAGTGGCTTTCTCCTGCCATCACAGGGTCTGCTCATCCCCATAGACCCCAAGGATCCCAGGCTCTAGATAACTAGACAGCTCGGCCAATGGCTGGTATCCAGCCTGACTAGGGAAGCAAGCTAACCTCAAGCTTGCCCACAAAACAGCAGAATAAGGGGGCAAATTCTCCCACTGAAACACAAATCCAGTCAGAAGACGTAATGGGACTCTGTCTAGCTGTGGGGTGAGGGGATGTGGGGGATATGGGCCTCCTTTTTTCTTCTTGATGCTCGGTCTTACATTTCCCCTTCCTCGTAATCTGCATCCCATGCCTAGAATCCATCCAGCCCCTGGTGCATGATGCCACACTGTTTGACCCTTGGCTCAGTGTTAACAGCTGAGGTCAGAGGCAGGAGCGGCACTGACTGTAACAAGTGGTCCCCTGAGACTGGTGCATCACCGCCTGCTGATTTCTGAATTCCACGCACCCTCACTCAGCAGCGTGATCATGCCAGATCTTGATGAGAATACTAATAATCTCGAATGCTGGCATAATTACTGTAGGCTCCTCTCCTACTTTCCCTTTATTTGCCAGCAGGCTTTCAATTAAGAAAATATTGAAATGTAGCATGTCATGGCTCCTACCCAGAAAGGAGAAAGAACGGGGTGGAAGAACATTGACAATTATTTGTAAGGCCAAAGGTAAGACATTTTCCTATGCATTTTTCTTTTTGCTATCAAAAATCTATGTATATTTTTTAGCTATTATAAACTGTGCCGTTATAAACATAGGTGTGCATATATCTCTGTGGTATGATTCTTTTAATTCTTTTGGAAAGATACCCAGCAGAGGGATGGCTGGGTCAAATGGAACCTCTAGTCTCAGCTCTCTGAGGTATCACCATATTGATTTGCACAGTGGTTGCACCAGTCTGCACTCCCACCAACAATGGAGAAGTGTTCCTTTCTCCCTACAACCCCGCCAAAATTTGTTATTGGTTGATTTCTAGATAGCAGCCATTCTTTGTGGGGTGGAATCTCAGTGTTGCTTTCATCTGCAACTCTAGAATGACCAGTGATGTGGAACATTTTTTCATATATTTACTTGCTGCTTTTACTTCTTTGTCTGAGAAATGTCTGTTCATTTCAGATGCCCATTTTTGAATCGGGTCTTTATATTTGGGGGGCTGATTGTTTTGAGTTATTTATATATTCGAGATAATAGTCCTTTGTCTAAGGAGCAGCCCATTTGCCCATCAGTTGGAAACTGGATAAAGAAGATGTGGTTTTTCTATAAAATGGAATATTACTCAGCCATAAATAATGAGAAATTAGATTCATTCATAGGAAAATGGATACATATGGAGGAAATACTCCTAAGTGAAATAAATAAGTCACACATGTGTAAATACCAAATAGTTTCTCTGGTGTGAATAAACTATAATAGTGCATAAGATCCTAATGATACAATGGACAATGTGAAATAGGAAGAAAGGGGCTAAAGGTGTAGGGAAAGTGGGAAGGGTAGGGGAAACCTAATAAGGTAAAAGAAAAAAATACGAGAAAAGGAAAAATAGAAATGAAGTGTTTATAAAGCGGGAGGGGAAGAGAGGGTGAAGGGAGGGGAGGGACAAGGGGAAAAAATGAGAACCACGTCCTGTCATGTAAAGGTACAAGATCTCAATAATGAATGTAACTGTACTGTATACCTAAAATGTACCAATAAACTCATGAGGAAAAAAAATTTTTAAAAAAGAAAGCTGATTCCAAAGAAAAAAAATCTACATAGAAAACTTTAAGAATGACTTTAAAGAATAAAATGTTTCTTCAAACTGTAATGCTATTATATTATATAAACTATAACGTATAAATCGTAATTATAAAGCAAAGAAAAATGTCAGGGTACACAATCGTGTCACATATTACATATTTAATTTTTATTTAAAATGAATATAGTCTGCTGGTTGGCTTTTCAGAATTTTACAACCTTTTACAGTTTAACCTTCCCAGCAACCTCCTACATCCATAGCTTTTTCTGAAAATTGGTAGAACAATCATCAACTAAGAGCCAAACATTTCTCAAACAAAGAAGTAGAAATAGTAAATAAACATATGTAAAAATGTTCAACATCACTGGTCATTCGAGAGATGCATATGAAAACAAACACTGAGATTCCACATCACCCCAGGAAGAATGGCTGCTATCATGAAATCAACCAATAACAAATACTGTCAGGGCTGTGGGGAAACAGGAACCCTGCTCCACTGCTGGTGGGAATGTAGGCTGGTGCAACCACTGTGGAAATCAGTATGGAGATACTCAAAGAACTAGGATGGGTTGCCCCACTTGACCCAGCTACTCCCCTCCTGGGTATCTTCCCAAAAGAATTAAAAGAATCATACCACAGCAATATATGTGCACCCATATTCATAGCAGCACAGTTTGTGATACCTAAAACTTAGAAACAGCCCAATTGCCCATCAACTAGAGATGGGATAAAGAAGATGTGTATTTTTTTATAGAATGGAGTACTACTCAGCCATGAAGAATGAGAAATTAGACACATTTATAGCTAAATGAATGCACATTGAAATGATACTCTTAAGTGAAATAAACAGGACACATATGTGTAAATACCAAATAGTTTCTCTGCTGTGAGAAACTGAATAAGGACTAAAAGGTAAGTAGATACCATGAGATAGTAAGAAAAGGGGCAAAGGAGAAGGGGAAGTGGAAAGAAGGGAATAGAATTAATATGAAAACAATGGAAACAAACTCTTTGTAAATAGGGAGGGCAGAGGAATTGAAGGGAAGGCATCCAAATGGGGAAAGAAATAAAAACCAAGATAGATTATGTAAAGGTGCAAATTCCCAATGATGAATGTCATTATATTATATACCTAAAATGTACCAATGAAGTTAACAGTATAAAAAAAGAGCCTATGATGTGCGGGGCACATACCACATTCTTCCTTTCATTTAACGTCTACAACATGAAGAAGTGATTACCTACACCTATAGGTGAAGGAACTGAGGCTCAAAGCATAAAGTTAGTATCTAATTTGTCAGAGGTCCCACAGCTAATGAGTGGCTGAGCTAGCATTGCAGCCCCTTATGAGCATATTCCTTTTTCCACCACCATGCTGCCTAGTTAACTCACCCTAATATTACTGTTCTTTGAAAATAGGATGTCTGAAGGCCAGAAGTCCTTTGTAGGTGGGCTCGCCAAAGCCATCTGGACCTAAGACACCACAGTGACGACCAGGTGACTAATGTCATTGTGTGTGGCATGGCACACCCCAGTGCCATCACAGTTGACAATTGCCATGACAATGGCCAGAAAGAACCATGGGGGGATCAAATTCCTGGAAAATCTCTGCCCATTCCCATGAAACATGAATCTCTCTCCCTTTTATCGGTCATCTTTGCCCCTCATTTCTTTTAACCTCTATGAATTCTCCACCCTACACAAATCAAGAAATTAATTTGCAAGTTTATATCCTGCTTCTCCTATTCTTAACCAAGAATAAATCTTTCTTCAGGGCTCAACTGCTTGGTCTTAGTGATTTCACAATTCCAAGAGGGAATGGTTTGGAGTCAAAATTGGCAGCACCACTGCTTTTCCAAGGCAGAGCAACGCAACCAGCTCCATCACCCTACTGTCTGCACATAGTGCTGCACTCCACTGCCTTTTAAGTGAGGGTCTTAAAAATATGATAGCTTTGACTTATATTTCAATGTCTCCTCCAGTGTGAGCTTGTGTGTGTGTGTGTGTGTGTGTGTGTGTGTGTGTTGTGCAGCCTTATTTTAAATGTAGGTTTTATTATTCCTCAAGTGTAGTGAGGCTAATAGATCAGGAGGCAACTGCCATTGGAAAAAAAAAAAAAAGGTGATTTCCCTCAAATCTCAACAGGAAGGGGAATGCCACCATGGGCCACATAAGGAAGTTTTGGTGTCAGTCAACAGGTAGGTGCAGGGGGGACTGGGTAAGAGCCTTTATTGTTATTTCCACAGAAGGGAATGAGCAAGTAGGGTAACCAGGCTAAGGATTGGCTGGCTGGATCACTTCCATGGGCTCTAGGACACAAGGGCTAACACTAGTTGTCTGCTGTGGGCCCCCAGTGATTAAAACCAGAGAAAAGTAGCTAGAAAGCAAGAGGCCAGTACCTGAATTGATTGGAATGTGGCTTATTTGCATTTGAAAGGAGAGTTTGCTTTAGCTTTCCTTGGAACTGGCTGGCTCTGAGGCGGGCAGGCCTTGCAGGGTCAGCAATACCCCAAGCTTTAAAAGCATCAGAAATACACAGTTAACATAGGTTATGTGCAGAAAAGAATAGACACAGGAGGTCTCACTACTCTCCTTGGAAAGGTCTGCGCATGAGCTTGGTGCTTAGCTTGTTTCTGGGAACTTGGATTTGGGGAGGATTCCCACCACCCTTCTCAGTAACAGTGGATCTCTGAGAATTTGGCTGATGCTGAATGATAGCTTTCCTCATGGGAGTCTGTGATTTTGACATGTGCTAGGCAGCCAGCAGTATGAGCCCCTAGGACATGAGTTGCTGAAGAGCTTCCCTAATAGACAGCACTGTGCACATTCTCTCATAGCTGGCTGATGGAGGAATCAAGAGTATCCTGTGTGACTCCTCTGAGGAAAAAAACAAAAATCCCTGGAAGGTTGGGCCGGGTTTTCTCCTGGTCTTTTCCTATGCACCTTTTTCTTTGCTTGTCTTGCTTTGTCTCCTTTCACTCATAGCCATGCGCATAACTGTATATTCTGAGTCCTCCTAATGAATCATCAATTCTAGAGATTTGTGCTGCCTGATACATTTTACTAGTACCTTTGATTCTAAAGAATAGAGTTTTTTAAGTTAACCATCATTAAATTTGTTTCATACTGAATGGAAATCACTCTCTGATGGGCATCATCTGTGAAGGATGTTTTGTGATCAAGGTGTTCCCTAGCTCTCTGAAGTTTTATCTTTGATTCTTAATTCAGTAATACCAGGGAGTCCCTCCTGTGTCCCTCCTCATATGAATTCCTTGGCTCCCTCTACACTTTTCTCACTTCTCTGGACTTTTTGGAATGTTATTGATTTTTGAAAACTTTTTTGGTAGTTTTTCTATTTTTTCCAGATAATCACATAGAAGTGTTTGCATATAATTGAATGAAAAAAAAAAACCCACGCAAAGACCTGTGGTACTTTCTATGCAGCTTCCCCCATTAATAACATTTTGCAAAACTATACTACAACATCACAGCTGATATACTGAATTGATAAATCCATTGATCTTATTCAGATTTCCCATTTCATTTGTACTCTGTGTGTATAATAAACCACGTACAATTTATCACCAGTGTAGGATCCTGTATCCTCAACCACGCTGTAAACGGTACCTCGGTTCAGAAACTTGATTCTTTCCACAATTCTGGTTTTGACCAAATTGCATGCTTGCAACCAGAATTATGGAACAAATTCTGTGACCGGTGTTGTGGAAAGAATTAAGTTCATGAATCAAGGCATTGCTGTACTAAACAGTTTCAACTCCACAAGAATCTTTCAATTTGCTCTTTTATGACCATATCAAACTCCTCTTCCCTTTAACCACTACTCTTATCTCCATTTCTAACGTATTACACAGGGCCTTATGCAGGAGGTGACCTTTTAGGATTGGCTTTATTTCCTCAACACGATTCCCTGGAGTTTCATCTAGTCTGTTTCAAGAATACAATAGTCCCCCTTTTTCCATAGTTTGCTTTCCATAGTTTTGATATCATACTATCAAAATAGAAATTTAAGTGAAAATTTTGAGAAATAATTTATAAATTTCAAGTAATTTTTAATATAGCCTATTGTTAGAATTTTTCTAGTTCACTATTGGTTATATTATTAATCTCTAACTGATCTTAATTTATAAATTAAGCTTTACCATTGGTAGGTATGTATGTATAGGGAAAAATCATAATATATATAGGGTTGCATATCATCTGAGGCTTTGGGCATCCACTAGGCATCTTGGAACATATCCCCAACAGATAGGGGAGGACTACTACCATTTGTGCATTTTTGTGCCTAAGTAGAATTCCATTATATGCATGGATCAGTTTGTTTATCGATTGACCTATTGAAGGAATACTGGATTGGTTTCATTTTGGCACTTGAAAATGGAGCTGCTATGAACACTCATAAGTGGACTTTGGTGTGGATGACCAGGATATAATGGCTGGGTCATACTACAATTGTCTATGTCGTTTGTTAAGAAGCTGTCAAACTATTTTGTGAGTATGAGTAAGCCTGTTTCCCCTACTATTAACTTTCATTATCCAAGATTCCCATTTTGGCTACTAAGCCCTTGGCTAGTATGCATGAGTCCCTGGGTTCAATTCCCAGGACATAGAGAAAGAAACAGGTTGGGGTTATTATGATACCACAAAATCATGTTCTTCTGAAAACGTGTCTAGGTGCTTAGAAGTCTACTACTAATGGAGCTAAAATAGATACAAAATACAATATACCTGCCCCTCTCACTCTAGTGCAAACATCACCCACCTACTTCCTCCCCATCCCCACAAAGCTGTCACTGTTTCCTAAAGAAAACTGTGGGTTAACTCCTCTGCAACCCAACCTGTCCTCACATAGCATTGCTACCTCTATTGGAAGGACTAAAGTAACTGTCTTCCCTGCTACGCTCTCAGTCCTCTGAGAGGAGGAATGAGGAAGGTTTTATCTGCCATCCTACCCTCAGTATCTAACCTATTGTCTGCATATATATTAGATACTCAGTAAATAGTTCCTCCCCTCCTCTGTTTATGACTGAATTGGCAATCCTAATTTCAAAAGTACAGTCAACACTGTACTCTAGGCAGCCTTTACCTACTAGTTACAGTTGACACAAGAGTTGAATATATAAGTCAACAAGAAGACAACGCTAACTGGTTGATATGAATTTGTTTTCTATTTTCAAACAATATATGTCAATGAATTAACAATCTTTTCTAGAGGAGCAAATGGGCTTCTTTTGCTTGCTGTATGTAAATCGGCCTTTTAAACAGTTATAGATGTACATTTCAACCAGCAATATTTACATGTGTGCATATACTCTATAATCTTGTTTAATTGCTTATTAATAGTCCCTAGAATTAGTTATTTCTAAGAGAATCATTGCCTTGACTTTCAATTTCCATTTTATGTCATTATGTTCCTTTTAAAGCTAGGCAACGTTCTCCTATTTCCAAAGGCAAGGATTTAATATTGTCCTAGAAATAATTATCACCCTATAGATGTATATAATTAAAAGCAGCATCTAATTCCAGCCAAGGGATTTGGACACATCTAATTAGTCTGCGTTCCTTAAGCCCAGGCAAGAAATTCATCTGGGCTGCTCTTAGCTTCTTCCAGAAAGTCCCATGACTAGACCCAGAAGTTTCCAGATCCTATGAAAGTAAGTTGAGAAAATAACTACAAAGCACTTATGAAAACCAACTAAAGGGGCCAGGGATTTAGCTCAGTGGTTCCGCCACCTGCCAGGACTAGAGTTCAATCCCCAGTACCAAAATATAAAAAATAAAAAATAAACCTAAAAATTAGTGAGCATGTGCATTCATTAGGGTTCCAAGAAAACAGCTTGTATAATCCTGGGAGCTGCTAGTCCCAGATCTGCAGAGCAAGTCAGCAGGCTGGAGAGTCAATGGAGTAGCTCCAGTATGAAGACCATCTGGAGGTAGAAGTGCCTCTTCCTTGCCACACTGAGGGTTCAGGGCCACAAGCAGTGGAGGCTTGAGTTGGCCCCAGGGAAGTTGCAGGGAAGCCTGGGGAATTGTGCTGAACACAGTTCAGTTCCAGCAGCACAGGGAGGAGCTCACTACATAGGTGAAGGTTCCGCTGACTTAGCTTGTTGGGGAAGCTGTAGCCGTGCTCCTCCTCACTAACTCGAGAGCACAGAAATTTGATGCCATCCTGGGGGATTGGAGAAACTTGAAGTTTGAGCCCTGGAGTCATACACCGGTGACAGGGATGGGGGCTGCTGGTGGGTGAATCGGAAGCTACTTGTCTAAGGGGTCAAGGATGGTGCTGTTGAGGGCCTCACTGGATGAGGGTGGAGGGACGGGAGAGGAGGGCACTGCAATCTCCTGGTAGGTGTGGTTACCAGTTGGGTAAGAGGAGGGGGCCTCCTCGGGCCTCCTCAGACAAGAACACAGGCCGTTTGGAGATGTGTGAGGTAGTGGACTCCAAGTCT